GGAAGTGTGGGGTTCAGCCAAATATTCCAACATCCACCGTAATCAAACTGCCCAGTCCTTGATACTACGAAAAATACTAGATGCTCCATTTTATGTATCGAACCTAACTACACATAAAGACTTTCGTTCAAGCTGAAATCCGTTCCCATTACCGCACATTTCATACAAAACCTCCCAACTTCCGTAAATCAGCACATCAGAAACCTCGCATTCCGATGATGGAACGATTGTGGGCCGTCAAAAAGATGAGGTCATCGCCAGCTCTCTGCCTGCTTTTGTTCTTTATCTAGTCTTTCCATACGTACCCCAGAGTACTTGATATTCTTCAGGGCGGGGTTAAACGCCCTTCCTTTCTTGTATGAAGGCTTTCCGGCCAGAGTTCTCGATATTCCTCGGAGCGGGGTCGAACCCACTACATTCACGCTAATAAATTCCTTTTACTCTCAAGAAATCACACACTCAGCTCAGAGTTCTCGATATTCCTCGGGGCGGCGGGGTTGAACCCACTACATTCACGCTAATAAATTCTTTTACTCTCCAGAAATCACACACTCAGCTCAGAGTTCTCGATATTCCTCGGGGCGGCGGGGTCGAACCCACTACATTCACGCTAATAAATTCCTTTTACTCCCCAGACATCACACACTCAGCCCAGTGTTCTCTATTCCTCGGGGCGGGGTCGAACCCACTACATTCACGCTAATAAATGACCTTCATTCCAGTAAATTAACATATACACAAAACATAAACTACAGAAAAACATTTAACATTCCTTTTAGTCCTGAGGTACCGGAACAGCGATCTGTGCCTGCTGCCGTACCCCAAGACCACGCACAGGTCCGATGATATGCCAAAATATTTCCCATAAACTTCAAACCTTCCATAATTGAAAATGTGCTCGAGTTTATTTTATTCTTGTACAAACCCTTTCCTGCCAGAAGATGCCCGTTATTCTTGTATGACCTACGCGTAGACGTGTCAGTACGGTCTTTTCCCTTTGTGACCCGTTCTCTGTGGACCGACGTCTTTCTTAACCTGCTAAGTTTAAACAGTTAGCACGACCGTTGTTACTTCTACATAAACGTGCACGTAAGCGTTATTCTCGTATGACCAATGTGTAGTCTTGTCAGTATGGACTTTTCCCTTTTCGACCCGTTCTCCGAGGACCAGGGACAGTCTTTAGTGTTTTATACATATCAAAAGATAGCATGGCCACAATGGTTCAGCGATTTGTGGATTGATCTTTTTTTTAACTCGATTTATAAATGATTTACTGAGAAGGATAATTTAAAAAATACAACCCATTGTTCTTGCCAAAAATCCTATAAATTCCAATCGTTAACCGTCCAAGCGTTTTTGGAGATGTCGTGGACCCTTCGAGAATTCCAGGGGCGACGCAATTCCAAATTATTTGGGATTCCGTTCAGTCCCAGCCGATATATTCGGCCAACGTCTAACAGTGCAATTACGAAATATCATTGGCAAAATTTTCACGTTGATACAGAAAATGCGATGGATTTTTGACTTTTTTGCCAAAACTTTTTGCCATTTTTCAGCCGAAGGTCGTGGGTTCGAATCCCGCTCGTGACACTAACTTTTTAACCTTACACCTTACACTAACCTTACATAAAAAGATTAATTAATTGAAAGAGGTTATTTGGTCAATCGGACCTCGAAATATAATGGACTAAACAGTTTATTGCTTCAGAATTCAAATGAGACTGAATAAAAATTTTAAATTCCTTAAATGCACTAATTTCGTGGTCCGCTTGACCAATTAATATATAACAATTAATTAAGGTTTTTAGTTGAGATAAAAAAAGTTAACAATACGCCGCCGCTCTACCACTTGAACTATCGTGACCTCGATCCACTCAGACACCAACTTCCCAATGGTAGACCAGCGGCGTATCTAGCTGATGGTCGTGGGTTCGAATCCCGCTCGTGCCATTGAATTTTTTATCTCAACTAAAAACCTTAATTAATTGTAATATTTTAAATTCTGTAAAAAAATCCTTTTTCCTTGTTTTGGATTAAGGATTACGTGTGTTTACGTCTAATTGATATTCCCAATTTAAAACATAGCATAAACAAATATTAATTGATAGAAAAAAATGAGACAAATTAAGGGCAGAATTTTCTTTTATGGAGAAAATGAAAAACAAAAATCAGTTTTGTGGTATTTTTTGCCTGTCATTATATATAATTCAATACTGATACTTTTAGATATTCTTGCATATTCTATTTGAATAAATAAAAATGTTTATCTATTTTTGTTTTCTTAAATTAAATTTGAAAATAGAAACTATCTCAGAACCAACCATCTTGGCAGTTTTGATTTTGAACAGCTGCTATTAAGAATATGAGACCAGCCAGAATCTGTCAGAAAAGTGGACAAACGAGGCATCTCTTTCGTTAAATAATTAACTTCCTGTCATTTTTACTCAAAAACGTGTCAATCAGAATCGTATCAAATCGTAATAAACTTAAATATCAGTTATTAGTTTTGAATGGAAATTTAAGTCAGTTCCCACCGCCTGGGCCTTTTCGTCTCCTGGCAGAGTTACGCAACGGAACGAGACAATCCAATTTGGACATTCGCATTGAGAAGAGCTAGAAAGGGCATTAGCAGAATTAAACAGGGGGTTTTTATATAAGCGATTATGCAACGGTTCGGTTTTGTCATTTCTGCCCATCCTTGAAAGAAAAACGATCTTCTGACGAAAATATGAGACATTACTTGAGAATTCTTCCCTAACATTGTTAAATTCCCAGAGCAAGAGGGCAATACCGAAAAAACCAGTACTAAGACGATCCGATTCAAATGTTTTTAAAATACAATTGTTATATAGATTTAGGTTTTTGAGGACAATGTAAGGACAGTGATAAATGAGGCGGCCATGGCCTTTCGCAACTCGACCTGAGATCTATTGTACTCCTATTGGCAACACTGCGCAGCTTCGGGTTGTCAATCAACCTCCATAGCGTTGCCAGGTTCTCCTTATTGCAGGACTTTTCCTATCCTAGTTGCAAAACTCTACACCTACACCCTCACGAAAAACATAAAAGTTATGCGGTTTCCTCTTCTTCCTAGCAGTAGTAACATAGATAACGTATTTTATTTATAATAGTAGTGGGCTATGAATATAACACTTTAACTGTCAGACGTGCAAAATTGTGCACTAAATTGTAAAAACACTGAATACGAATAAAGCAATTAACTAAACATTACTGATCTCATACCTTGTCAGGCATGAGGTGCATAGTGTGCAAGGCCTTGAGATTTTTCAACACCTGTGATGTTTAGGAGATCAAGCAGTTGGAACTTAGAAAGCGCTCTATGTCCTTGTTCAGGACAACAAAATGAAATATCTTCCTTTCCTCTTAGGTTACAGAGCGTACACGTGCAATTTCAGTCCACTTCCTTCCATGACACACTTCTTCGCACCTAAGTTTAAGTAGCCTTAGATCAGGGAGTTTCAGAGAACTAGCTTCTTGAACATTTAAGTTAAACGCTTATTACAGTCTAAGTCGTTAAAAAGTAGGGGCCCCGAGGGGGCGAAACGGACCTAACTCTCCGCTTGTCCATTCCGAGTGGACGGGCCTGCATTAAGCACCAGACCGTTTGCCGCCCGAAAAGGGTTACCCAAAGTTGCTGAAATGCATCAGCCTGGGTCCTCCCGCCGAGCTCCCTAGATAGAGAAGGCGACTCTATCACCCAGAGTCCTGCGGCTCCTCCAGCGTAAGAACTTCCGGATCTGCTCCGGCCGCGGTTTTGTTTAAAGTGAAATGTCTAACCACCGCTTAAAGGAACACCGCCTCGGAAGGAAACCCCTAACGGTACCTCTGAACAACAGGATAAAACTAAGATCTCGCCAGGAGCCTCGCGACTAAGCCACTACGAGTCCATTTTCATGTAGCAGAGTTAGGACTTGGAACATTTTCTACCACCCCGTAGTTCAGATGGTTATGCACCCTCCACCGTCTATGCAGACATGATCTGGTATCTAACCCTCGTGTGCTGATGCAGCACCCGCCTTCCTCTGCCTACCCGGAGGCCGACACGAATTCTGCTTGTGCTTTAGAGAGGGTGCCACGGTCCCAAGGCTACACCATTATGTTGTGCCTGGATATTCCCTTTACATTCAAGCGTCGGGAGAGGTCTCAAGGAAATATGCCGTAGGACTTGGATCGAGAAAAGGAAGTGACCGAGTCCATCCAAGGCTCACCTTTTCAGGTTGCACCCCCGCCTTGGCCACCCTGTACCACCCATTGTCACTGTAGTCCCACATTTAATGGGGTATGGCTCCTCTGGGCAGATAAAAGAGATGGGATGGCCGTTCAGGCGTTGAACCAATCGACCGCCAATCCCGACCAGTTATCCAGTTATCTAGAGGGACGAATCCGAGGTTGTGTGACCTTCATTGAACTACCAGTGTGCACCTTGAAGAAAAAACAGTTTTGATTTTTTCGGGTTAAGGTTCTCTCTCCAATTTTCACATCAATCACTTATTTGCTAAGCGAAGGACTGTAGTCTCTGCAAGGCTCTGAGTCAACAACCGCCAAAGCCGCAACATCATCAGCAAATTGTGCCAAATTTAACACAGAAGAGTGGGGGTAATATGCAGTATACAGAATGTTGAGTTATGAACCCTATCCGCTTCCTTGTGGAACTCCAACGTAAATGGCTTTTTTTTGAGAGATCGAGTCTTTGTATTTTACAGAAAATCAACGATTGGCAAGGTGGGAGAGAATCAGTCGATAGTACGTATCCGGGATATAGCGTTTTTTTGTCTTTGATAGCAAGCCATTATGCCAAACTCTGTCGAAAGCATGAAAACTTTTTACGCCGAGCAAGAGACATATCGTTTCGATCGGCAGTAATATTTAGCCAACTCTTGGACCTGACAGGTTTACAGCCCGTAAACTGCCCTCGCCCTACTTTGCACTACGGCCGTATTTCTCCTTTTAAATCGTTTTTCAATTTTGCCTTTTTCCAGGTTTCCATATGACGCCGAGGCTCCACCACATATTTCCGGAGTCCTGCCTCCTCATCGTCGTCGGCGTCCTTATCGGCTTTTTCCTCTTCTTCACATCGTCCGTCCACGTCTCGCCCCTCACGCCGGACACGTTCTTCCTCTACATGCTGCCTCCGATCATCCTTGACGCCGGCTATTTCATGCCCAACAGGCTTTTCTTCGACCATCTAGGCACCATACTCATGTTCGCCGTCATCGGCACCATCTTCAACACACTGACCATCGGTGAGCTTCAAAACAATATTTTAAACTAATAAACTACTACTCGTTTAGCAAAAACTACATTTATACTTTGCACTCGCTCACTTACATATTCACAATTTCATTTACCGTACACATCAATTCCATTAATAATAATCCATGTATGTATTTAGAAGTCATAATAGAACTTATTAATTATTTTAATTAATTATACTTTTAATCTAAGGTATTGGTTGAGATAAAAGAACTAGTGGATGGAAGTCGCGCTAGCTGAAGTTGTTAGAGCAGCAGAAGGTCGTGGGTTCGCATCCCGCTCGAGGCACTAGCTTTTTCATCTCAACCATAGATTAATAGTATAACCGCATTACTTATATTCACAATTGTTGTAATGAGACTGTTTGATACGACAGGTGTCTGCCTGTGGGGTGTTGGGCAAACGGGCCTGTTCGGCTTCGAGACTCCCCTGCTCGACATGTTGCTATTCTCCGCGCTCATCTCTGCCGTCGACCCGGTCGCTGTGCTGGCTGTCTTCGAGGAGATACACGTCAACGAGATACTTTACATCGTCGTCTTCGGTGAATCACTGCTCAACGACGCCGTCACAGTGGTAAGAACTGAGAGAGTGAAGAGAGGAGAGAGCAAGAACGAAAGAGAGAAAGAGGGAGTTAGAAAAATAGATAGCGAGAGTAAGAGAGAGGTGGATGGATAGATAGATAGGGAGGGAGAGAGAGGTAGATAGCGAGAGGAGAGGGGGAGGGAGGGAGGGAGAGAGAGAGAGAGAAAGAGGGAGGTAGAAAAATAGATAGCGAGAGAAAGAGAGAGGTGGATGGATAGACAGATAGATAGGGGGGAGAGAGGTAGATAGCAAGAGGGAGAGGGAGTGGGAGAGGGAGAGGGAGGGAGGGAGGGAGGGAGGGAGGGAGAGAGAAAGAGAGAGGGAGAGAGAGAGAGGTGGATGGATAGACAGATAGGTAGGGAGGGAGAGAGACGTAGATAGCAAGAGGGAGAGGGAGAGGGACTGGGAGGTAGAGGGAGAGGGAGGGAGAGAGGTAGATAGCAAGAGGGAGAGGGAGGGAGAGAGGTAGATAGCAAGAGGGAGAGGGAGAGTGACTGGGAGGGAGTGGAAGAGGGAGGGAGGGAGAGAGAGAGAGAGAGAATGAGANAGAGAGAAAGAGGGAGGTAGAAAAATAGATAGCGAGAGAAAGAGAGAGGTGGATGGAAAGACAGATAGATAGGGGGGAGAGAGGTAGATAGCAAGAGGGAGAGGGAGTGGGAGAGGGAGAGGGAGGGAGGGAGGGAGGGAGGGAGGGAAAGAGAAAGAGAGAGGGAGAGAGAGAGAGGTGGGTGGATAGACAGATAGGTAGGGAGGGAGAGAGACGTAGATAGCAAGAGGGAGAGGGAGAGGGACTGGGAGGTAGAGGGAGAGGGAGGGAGAGAGGGAGAGAGAGTGGTGGATGGATAGACAGATAGGTAGGGAGGGAGAGAGACGTAGATAGCAAGAGGGAGAGGGAGAGGGACTGGGAGGTAGAGGGAGAGGGAGGGAGAGAGGTAGATAGCAAGAGGGAGAGGGAGGGAGAGAGGTAGATAGCAAGAGGGAGAGGGAGAGTGACTGGGAGGGAGTGGAAGAGGGAGGGAGGGAGAGAGAGAGAGAGAGAATGAGAAAGAAAGAAAGAGAGAGAGAGAGAGAGAGGTAGATAGCAAGAGGGAGAGGGACTGGGAGGGAGGGGGAGAGAGAGAGAGGTGGATGGATAGACAGATAGATAGGGCGGGAGAAAGAATTAGATAGCGAGAGGCGCGAGGGAGAAGGGGAGAGAGAGAGCCAATTAATATTGGGTTGTCTCACATGATTTTATATTTCAGATATTCAGAGAGAATATAGCGGTTTTCTGTTGTTTACTTCCAATTATTTACATATTTAATTAAGCAATTCCTCCACTTTTATTCATCGTGATGTGCTTCCCAATCCATTACAGACCTTTTAGTATACCTCCAAATATGAACATGGAAACACGCGATTTTCGTGTAATATTCCTTTACGAGTTTAAACTCGGTCATTCGGCAGCTGAAACTGCAAGAAACATCAGTAATGCGTTTGTGGAAGGGAATGTACATGAACGGATTTGCTAAATTTTTCGGAAGGTATACCGCATTGGAATACGAGCCCCGAGAAAACCTCCAAATTTAGCGGAAGAAAACCACAATCAAACAGAGGACTCGCACCAGGACTAAATGCATGTGCAGCTACCGTGTCAAGACAATTCAGGAACATAGGGAAATTCAAAAAGATTGATCTATGGGTCCCTCATGAGCTCACTGAGTGACAGCAGTTAAAGCGCCTTGAGACATGCGTTTCGTCCCCCCCCCCAGATTATGTAGTGAGGAGGGACAAACAGCCACCCATGTCATCTTCAAATAGCAACAGTTCAATAGAGACATAACCTAGCGTGCATAAAAAATCTAGGGAATGAAATTGTAAAAGTGACAATCAATGGTGTAATACTTCTGAGAAGAAGGATTGAGTCCATTGCACTGAACTAGGGAACTAGGAAGGCACAATAAGCCAGAGAGAGAGAGAGAGAGAGAGAGAGAGAGAGAGAGAGAGATAGGACAGAGGAGAATCTGTAAGACCATATATGTTCTATGGGTCTTGGTTCTATTCTTCGGATAACAAAACAAACAGAATCCTCCATCACAGAATGGTTCCAAATAAGGAAAAAAGAGAAATTGAAAAGCTCTAGGGACCCTAGACAGTAAAATTTTTCTAAAACAACCCTCATTAAGATCGCCAAATTCACTGGTGCCGTTAGATTCGGAGGAGTGATATGACCGGTCACTGGTTTGACATCATGTAAAACAGCTAAATAAACAGGAAAGTCAATAAGCCAGAAGGCTGCGTTGCCTTGGGAGAACAAACCCCGCTTTGTAGTATACATCATCATTATCATCAACAAACCAGGGAGAGTAGGCAGAACGAAATGATCGGAAATGTCCAAGTTATGAAGTTATGAAGTTCATCGCCCCAGACACGACGAAGAAATTTCAAAGAAAATTTAAACGTAAATCGATTTCACTAATTTGTTGTTTGTAACTAGGTGCTGTATCATATGTTTGAGGCGTATTCGGAAATGGGGCCTTCCAACATCATCTACTCCGACCTCCTCGCGGGTCTGATGTCGTTCGTCGTCGTCGCTATAGGCGGGACGTTGATCGGCGTCATCTGGGGGTTCCTGACCGGCATGGTGACGAAATACACCGACCAGGTCAGGGTCATCGAGCCCATTTTCATCTTCATAATGGCCTATCTAGCATATCTTAACGCTGAGATCTTTCACATGTCGGGGATACTCGCGTGAGTAAAACGCTTTATATAATAGCCCGACTTTCCATAACCAACTGGGAAATCAACAGGATCACGTTTTGCGGGATCACGATGAAAAACTACGTGGAAGCCAACATATCGCACAAATCGCATACGACTGTCAAATACGCGATGAAAATGCTTTCCAGCTCTTCGGAGACGATCATATTCATGTTCCTCGGCGTCGCTACTGTCAGTGACAGGCATATCTGGAACACCTGGTTCGTCCTCCTCACCATTCTCTTCTGTTCCGTCTTCCGAGCAATAGGTTTGTCATAAATTAACTAATAAATTTAAAAAAACAAACAAAAACCACTCACATCTACGTTATCGACAGGTGTGATCATCCTGACGGCGGTAGTCAACAAATTCAGGCTTTACAAGCTCAACAAAGTGGACAAGTTCGTCATGTCGTACGGAGGCTTGCGGGGAGCTGTCGCATTCGCTCTCGTCCTCCTCATTGACCCGAAACACGTCAAGCTCCAGCCCATGTTCGTTACAACGACAATAGCTGTCATTTATTTTACAGTCTTTATACAGGTAATTATCACAATTATATTTTATAAATTAAAAATAAAACCAATTTTTTTCTAAAGGATGCTGACGAATATGTAGTTTTGACAAAAACGATATGCTTCAAATTTATTATGTATTATGTTATTAATGTTTTAGGGTTTATTTTGACTCTCTCACCTATTTAAGACTACCTTTACTGCACATTCTCATTTAAAACAAAACTTACATTTAATTAAAATAACAATGGTTTAATAAGGCAAAAATAGTCTTAAAAAGAAGAGACCTAACATAAAAAGGTAAAAATATTGGTATTTTCAAACTATCCAAACATGAAAATAAAATTAATATTTGAAAAAGTAAGGTGTTGTATTTATAAAAGTTTTTAAAAAATAATTCTTACTCAACTTTTCTCATCAGTTCTTTTAACTATTAATTCAAAGTATAAAAAGCGGGCTCATAATTTAAAAAAAATTTTTTTCAAGAAATTCTCAACATAATGTCCGGAGATAATTAAAAAAATAACCTAATAATATATTTGGATGCTAGAAAAATCTTACTCCTACTAATAGTCGTACTATACATAGCTTTAGAAAACTAAACATTTTTGTCATTTTTAAATAGTACTTATATTAATATACCTGATCCTAAAATCGTACTTATCCAAAAGACGCTTCCAAGTCATCAGTGGAGGGGTACCACAAGGGAGAATCTTAGGACCCATACTCTACTCACTATACACCGCAGATATTCCTACTTTTAGATAGTCCTACTTTCCTACCGCAGATATCCTGTAAACCCATGTCACATCACTCAGGCATTGGTTGGTGAAAGACGACAGCTAACATAAAAAAATGTGAACATGTCACAAAAGACAAGAACTAAGCAGATGCTTCGACTTCTTAAACGATTGCTGGACAAACAATCCCAACTGACATTCGAACACTTTGGACTATCAAAGATGAGTTGATGGATCGAACGTGCTGTTGAACTACTTGAAAAAAAGGATCTTCGGTGAGCTCACAACAAAAGCTTTCTGTTGAGACCTCAACGAAGTTTCTTTTTTCCAAACTCTGGACTATTTTAAGATCATGATCAGGGCAAAACAAACTTAAATATGTTTACAGATTGACATATTTACGGTTTTACAGGCGATCTCAAATTTCCTTGAAGACCGACTGACGCAGGTCATTATCAGGAGGAAATAAACTTAAAATAGGTCGAAAGCTAGGCAGTATTTTTGCTTTATTCTTCCAGAGTGTCAAAAAACAAGAACGAAGCAGACGCTCCATTATTCTTAAACGATTGCTGGACAAACGATCCAAACTTCGAACATTCTGAACCTATTTTAAGGTCATGATCAGGGAAAAATAAACATAAATATGTTTACAGATTGACATTTTTAAGTTTTCACAGGCGATCTCAAATTTCCTTGAAGACCGACACACGCAGGTCATTATCAGGAGAAATTAACCTTAAAATAGGTCGAAAGCTAGGCAGCAGAAACTATATTTGCATTATTCTTCCAGAGTGTCAAAAAACAAGAATTAAGCACACGCTCTGTTATTTTTAAACGATTGCCGGACAATCGATCCAATCTTCGAGCATTCTGAACTTATTTTAAGGTCATTATCAGGGCAAAACAACGTTAAGTAGGTCGAAAGCTAGGCAGTATTTTTGCTTTATTCTTCCAGAGTGTCAAAAAACAAGAATTAAGCAGACGCTCCGTTATTCTTAAACGATTGCTGGACAAACGATCCAAACTTCGGACATTCTGAACCTATTTTAAGGTCATGATTAGGGAAAAACAAACTTAAATATGTTTACAGATTGGCATATTTAAGGTTTCACAGGCGATCTCAAATTTCCTTGAAGACCGACTCACGCAGGTCATTATCAGGAGAGAATAACCTTAAAATAGGTCGAACGCTAGGCAGTAGAAACTATATTTGCTTTATTCTTCCAGAGTGTGGAAGTGGTCGACATTTCGAATACTGAAAACAAAAACTGACTTTACATAACGATTAATTTATTTTACTATTTTGAGACCCATATGACATACGGTATCGAACTTCGAGGCTCCAACCTCCAACGCATTCAATATCCAAAAACAAAAATCCTCCAAACCATCGTCAATGCTCCTTTCTGTGTATCTAATCTTACCATTCAGATGATCTTAATATCCAAAATGTACTTGAATTAGAAAGGTTTTTCTTGTTCGTTTTGTTTTGTAGTGTTAAAATGTCATCAAATTTACTTGAGCAGCAATTGGCCCAGGAGTAATTAAATTTAAAAAAAAATATACGAATGTAACTGGCAAACGTAGGTGAAATATTTTATCATGGTTGTGATAATCACAAAAAAGAACTTTTTTAAATAGTATTCTGATTGTAAAAATTATACTACTACTACTACTTATCATTTACTATTCTTGCACTTTTTTTTTCTCTTAGTTTCTTCTGTAAGACTTGAAAATTCTCATTTGAAATTATTATTTTTTTAGGGAATTACCATAAAGCCTCTAGTCAAAATCTTAAACGTAAAACGAGGAGAAAAGCGAAAACCTACAATGAACGAACGCATCCACGAGAAGGTGAGTCGAATTCGTCTTTTTTTCTGGTACATTAATAAACTTTTGGATATACACTAAAAGACAAAAACCCGGACACTTGTATTTATTTGTTTATATTCTATAATAACTAGATATAAAGATTAATAGTTGACCCATTAGAGTTCGTGGTCCGATAGACCAATTAACTTTTCCAATTAATTAATTTTTATGGAAGGTATTTGTTGAGATAAAAAAGTCAGTGTCATGAGCGGGATTCGAACCCACGATCTTTCGCTAGATACGCCGCTGCTCTACCACTTGAGCTTTCGTGTCCGAGTGGATCGAAGTGACGATAGCTCAAGTGGTAGAGCAGCGGCGTATTGAGCCGAAGGTCGTGGGTTCGAATCCCGTTCGTGACACTAGTAATTTCAACCAAAACATTACATAAAAGGATAAATTAATTGAAAGAAATAATTATAATGGTTTAAATATATTTTTGTTTGTTTAAAAGATAATGGATCATACTATGACTGGGATCGAAGATATTCTCGGGCACCACGGCAACCACCATCTACGAGACAAGTAAGTAATTAGTAAAGAATAGTACCGCTTCACCTAAAAACAGCTCCGTTATCAAAATCCGAGCGAAAAATCGAAAAACAGGAGGGTCCTGATTTTTCCTTCTTCCTTTTGGCCATTTTTTTTTATTTAAAAACAAGTTTTCAAAGATTCACAGTAAGTACAGAGTGAAAATAAAAAAAAATATTAACTTTCCCTTATTAGTTGCATGATCGGATCGCTTTGACACACTGCACAAACTTTTCGATTCGGCACAATTTTTAAGAGTAGAACGGCCTCCGGCCGGATGGAAGAAAACCTGTACAAGTGTTTGTTTTCGTGTAGGTTCAAACGGTTCGACAACAAGTTCATCAGGCCTCTGATCGTCCGCAACCACCAAGGCGCAGAGCCGAAGATACTCGAGACCTACTCAAAATTGGCCATGAGGGACGCGATCGATTACATGAGGAGGAACGCGTCCACAATTGGTAATATTTCCGGGACAGAGTCGATGTCGGCCATTTTCAGGAACTACACAGCCGGCAATCTGAACGGAAGGTATTCTATTAAAAGATCTATGTCTAGTTTAACTAGCTAGATTTTTTTTTACATCAGTTTTATATTAAAAACCTAAAGACTTTTCGTTCAATTGAAATAGATATTATTGCAGCGGAAAACTGACCCGTTTAAAATCTAATTGCACCGCTATACGGCATAGATTTCCTAGATCAGCAGCGATAACAAACGGACCCAAAATGAACGAACAGGAATATAGCCACAATAAAAGAAGTTCGCTCTTTAAAAATTTCGAAAAGTCTTTATGTTTTGGCTTTTTATAATGCACGATAATAATAAGCAGAGACCGGATTTTTAGGCAGTAAAAATTGCCAAAATATGCCATAAAATATACAGTTGAAAGCTCTGCAATATGCAATATTAATACGTTAAAATATGCAATGGTATGCAGAAAAACAGTTTTTTTACTATCACAGTAACTTTAAACAGAAATATAGATAAATAAACGAAATAGATATTAAAACTCTTTAAAACTAAAAATAATAAAAATTCACAAATTTTTTCCACCCTGACAACGAGGTTATTTGAACACTCGGGGTGCCAGTGTTTTTAAAAAAAATTTTTTGTAAGTATGTCGGGTTTGAATGCAGGGCCGCTGGATTCGAACCCGGGATCTTTACGTTACAATGATGGCGACTAAACCGTTGCGGCCACCGACGCCCTCTAGAGTTTATTTACAATTAACACAAATATTTTCTCATTAACATAATTAAATTATATATTTTATACCACATGAGTAGAATAAAAATCCTAACCTAGTTTAGTGGGTCGGTGGAGTAGTAGATACTCAACACTCGCGCTAATAAATACATTCATTGCAGACACGAAAAACTCATAGAAAAATCCTAACCTAGTTTAGTTGGGTCTGTGGGTGACTCGATATTCCGCCAAGAGCCATTCACATATACTCAACACTCGCGCTAATAAATACATTCATTTCAATTAATGTTAATAAACAAGTACTTCTCTAAACTGTCTTCCGTGAAATTGTGCCTACGGTCACTTAAAATTTTGTGAGAATATTGAATATGGAAATGAGTCCTAAGAAGGGTTTTTTTAAAAATTATTTTATATTCCTAGAATCTTCTCTTCTCGTCTTTGCGGCCCGTTTCAGTTTTCTTCGATTTAAACCGACTTTTCGTCAACATGTTAATTTTTTAACAGATTTTTTTAACGCTTCCCCAGAAAACCAATATAATATTTTAATTATTTTGCGAGATAAATGCGATTTTACCTAAACATTCTTCAAATATGCAATTTTATGCGATATTCATTAACTATTCAAAAATATGCGCTATAAAATTTAAGCTATAGGTTCCTAGATACATGATTCGGATAGATAATTGATTTCCTCGGTCGTATGTGGTGGCAAACAACATATTCAACTGCATAGAAATCCGGTCTCTAAATTAATGTGTGTTTCGTAGTGACCTGTTGTTTAATTTTTTGTTGAAGCCATGAGGAGTGGTCAAGAATGAGGTAGTTTAGAAAAATACCTTTTTCATTTTTTTTGCCGACGTTTCGGCCTTTATTCGGGTCATCTTCAGGGCATAAAGTGTGGTGCTATTCTTGCGGTGTTGTATTGGTTTTCACATTTTCACACAACACCAATATGATAGCACAAGAATAGCACCACACTTTATGCCCTGAAGATGACCCCAGTAAAGGTCGAAACGTCGGCAAAAAATGAAAATGGTGTTTTTCTAAACTACCTCATTCTTGATCGCTCCTCACTACTTCAACAAATCATTAGTAATATTTTAAATTTATTTATCCAAGTTCTTTTAAAAAAAGGAAATAATTTCTTTTTTCCCTTTAATATTTTCTTCTTCCGTTTTTGACTTTTTTTTTTAAATAAAAGACTGCTTAAATTGTTTTCTTCTTAAACGTTCTCACGTTGTTGTGTTTGGATAGTTTTAAAGAGGACCCGAGAGATGCACAGAGGAGTGCAAGTATGAGGTAATGAACTGTCAAAAACAAATGGACAATACTCAGCAAATAATTTTGTGACAAATGGAAAAACGAAAGGTCGGCACGGGTGAGCAGACGTCGTCTAAAGTCTCCGTTTATTTTTTCAGTTATTCCCACCTGGACTCCAGCACGTGGAACATAGATCTGCAAGAGCTTGAGTACAATCCGTCAAAGAAGGACCTCACGGACGCTAAAATCCACCATTTGCTCGCCGAGGAGCTCGTGCAGCCGTACAGAAGGGTAATTTTTGCCAAAAGTGATTTCTAGAGTTTTTGTGTACAATTATTTTTTTTAGCATCGGAGGCTGAGCTACTCGAGACATGCGGTCGACGACCGTGATCTGTCAACGCAAGTCAATTACAGAATGCATATGAATATACGCAGGCTCGTCGGTGAAAGAAGGCATCACCATAAAAGGAGTAAAAGGCTCAAGGTAAATATTATACAAATAACCCCGGTGAAGCCGTTATAAAATCCTTTTCGTTTGTTTTAAGGACGGAAAAAATCACGTCAGCTTTCCAGGCATACAGAACGGGTCGGCGAAACAGTTCACTCACGGTAAAACGACATCGCTCTCCGTCTTGTAACAAAGTGCTTTAATACTTGATTTTGTTCAAGATTATCTCGACGAGGTTCTCCAGGAATCGGAAAACGAGCCCGGCGAGGGGAAACGGAACAAAGACGACTGGGAGAGCGGCATCACGTTCACAGCCCATCCTTCACGTAAGTCCGACACATACGTGCTTACACTGGTATAAAACCGAGTGTTTGTTACACTTTTGAGCGTTAAAAGGACTAAGGAGGCCAATGAATAGCCAAGGAGAATTTACTTTATGCGGTTCAGCTAGATGTTCGATTCTAACGATTATTTTACCATGCATTTCTAAATGACATGGAAACATGAAATGGAAATGCCACTCTGAAATTAGTACTTCTTCTATAGACCCCTTAAAGTAATGTATACAGTTTAACAGTCCACTTCTTATACTTAATATGTACTTAAAATTTGTAATCGTAAATCACACGTTTTCCCGTGACCTCATCTCGCTTTATGTACAATGTTGATCAACATGCATGTTTAATTTTTACACGTCAGTCGATCTTATTTTCAACCTTAAGAAGAAATGCAAAATCATGTTTTTCGACATAAAAGACGGTTATTTTATGAATCGTTCCTCTACTCATTAAGACACAGATTCCCACTGGGTATGCAGCATATCATAACATAATCATAGCAGTCGGCTAGAACGGAATAAAATAGTTAGATTAAACAATCTCCCCCCTTATAAAACAAACTGCTTAAAATACTATGCTCAATATAAGGAGAGAAAAATATGACATTTTAAAAGAAAAGGAGAGATCCAAATCAAATAAAGGCAAAATCGGCTTCTTCTTGCCAAGCTTTCGGAATATATCATTATATCAGAGTAATTTATTAAAAACTTTTATAATATTTATAATGTATTACGCATACAAAACACTCGTAGAAAAATCCTAGCCTAGTTAAGTGGGTCTATAAGGTCTCGTTATTCCGCCAAGAGAAACCAATGCACACCAAACATTCGCGCTAATAAATGCATTCATTCAAGATACAAAACACTCATAGAAAAACCCTAACCTAGTTTAGTGGGTCTGTGGAGTACTTGATACTCCGCCAAGGGCCATCCACGCATACTCAACATTCGCGCTAATAAATACATTCATTCAAAACACTCATAGAAAAACCCCAAGCTAGTTTCGTGCGTCTATGGGATACTCGATATTCCGCCACGTCCCACCCAAGCATAATCACCACTCGCGCTAATAAATGCATTTGTTCAAGACATAAAACACTCGTAGAAAAATCCTAACCTAGTTTTGTGGGTCTGTAAAGTTCTTGATATTCCGCCATGACCCACTTACGCGTACTCAACACTCGCGCTAATAAATACATTCATTCAGACAGAAAACACTCGTAGAAAAATCCTAACCTAGTTTAGTAGGTCTGTGGGGTGCTCGATATTCCGCCACGTCCCACCCAAGCATACTCACCACTCGCGCTAATAAATGCATTTGTTCAAGACATAAAACACTCGTAGAAAAATCCTAACCTAGTTTAGTGGGTCTGTAAAGTACTTTATATTCCGCGATGACCCACTTACGCGTACTCACCACTCGCGCTAATAAATACATTCATTCAAGACACAAAACACTCGTAGAAAAATCCTAACCTAGTTTAGTGGGTCTGTGGGGTACTCGATATTCCGCCACGTCCCACCCAAGCATACTCACTACTCGCGCTAATAAATACATTCATTCAAGACACAAAACACTCGTAGAAAAATCCTAACCTAGTTTAGTGGGTCTGTGGGGTACTCGATATTCCGCCACGTCCCACCCAAGCATACTCACTACTCGCGCTAATAAATACATTCATTCAAGACACAAAACACTCGTAGAAAAATCCTAACCTAGTTTAGTGGGTCTGTGGGGTACTCGATATTCCGCCACAACCCACCCACGTATACTCAACACTCGCGCTAATAAATACATTCATTCAAGAAACAAAATACACATAGAAAAATCCTAACCTAGTTTAGTAGGTCTGTAAAGTACTTGATATTCCACCATGATCCACTTACGCGTACTCAACATTCGCGCTAATAAATACATTCATCCAAAACACAAAACGCTCATAGAAAAATCCTAACCTGGTTTTGTCGGTCAGTGGGGTACTCGATATCCCGCCAAGAGCCACCACGCATACTCAACGCTAGCGCTAATAAATACATTCTTTCTCTCATTCATCCTCTCCACGGCTTACGGTTCTTATACCATTAATCATGATTACTTCTGCGAAAATAATGAGTAATGATTTATCATGATTACGAGGACAGCCTTGATGCCGATTTGTTTATTTTTTAACAAACGGAAGAAATTCCATTAAATGGGTTTTATTTATATATTTCGTTTATCGTGTTTTTTATTATATCCGTTTATATTTAGTGATTCGTGTATTATTACAATTGAAAGAAGTCTAGCTGAACCCGAAGTTTTTTCATTTCCTCTGCATGTTTTCATTGTGTGTACACTATCAAAAGCTCACTTTTCCCGAGTGAAGGTCCTTGTGGCCAGTCGCATAACCCTTTCTTTTATACTATGTTTTTTTTTAAGGTGAATGCTTTTTAACCTAATGTGATAACACAAAAATGCCTTTTTTGTTTATAAACGTAACTAAATGAAATAAATAGTAACAGTTTTAAGATAGAAAAAAAAGAAAACCAGTCGTGGCAGTAATCCATTAGTAGGGTGTGATAGCCCAAAGTATAAGTGCGGCAGTGTGGTTGTAGTGTTCCGGTTGTGTCTGTTGTTTGTAGCCGAGGACGGTGACAGCTGTGCGGGGAGTAACAACAGCCTTCTCGCTACTCTCGTCGCACTACCCGCCAGTCTAAACCCGAGGAGGGCGAGACTTGTCAAAGTGTCCAAGGGCAGTCGGCCATCCAGCACTGAGTATGTCGACGTGCCGACTGTTGCTGAGACGTCCCTTCCTTGGCGACGTCGCGACGGTAATCCTCATCCAAGAGACGACCATAAACAAAAACTCATCCCATCCTCACTTAGTCTAACCATCACAACCCGTAAAAATCCTTCTCACACGAACACCGTTTTTCTTTATAGGGGGGGGGGGACAAAAGACCTGTCAGCGGTCATCAAGGTTAAATTACAGTCAATTTATCGCGTCAAAAAAAGTATATTTTCCAGTTTGAAAATCATTACGATCTCCTTGGTAAATTTTTTATGTACTTAGCTCAATCACGACACTACCTGAAAACCACCACTTCACAAGCACGAAATGATTTATTTTGCACTCATTTTTAGGCAGGGCTGAAGAAAAACCTGTGGGAAGACAACAATAAAAAGATTAAATCCAACATTGTAATTTTCTTCGAATTAATTATTCTTTTTATGAGGTCTTGGTTGAGATAAAAAAGTCGGTGTCACGAGTGGATTCCAAGGGCTGGTCTAGATTGGTCATCAGGGGGTAAAAAATTTCGTTTTTTTTTGCGCAGGGGACTTAAAAACGTGCAAATTGTGAGAAAACTCTACACACCCATTTACGTTTTTGTGGTCAATTGACCAACTTACTTCTTTTAATTAATTATTCTTTTTATATAAGGTATTGGTTGAGATAAAAAAGTCAGTGTCACGAGCGGGATTCGAACCCACGACCTTCGGCTTAATACGGCTCTGCTCTACAACTACTTTTTAAAAATGGCAAAAAGGAGGGAAAATTCGAAAGGTTGCAGGTTGAGATGGAGAGTTGGTGTCCGAGAAGATCGAAGTCAAGATAGCTCAAGTAGAGCAGCGGCGTATTAAGCCGAAGGTCGAGGGTTCGAATCCCGCTCGTGACACTACCTTTTTCATTTCAACCAAAACCTTACAGAAAAGATTAATTAATTAACTTGAGCGAAGCCACGATAGATCAAGCGGTCAGATGACAAAAAGTGGCAAAAAAGAGGGAAAATTCGAAAGGTTGCAGGTTGAGATGGAGAGTTGGTGTCCGAGAAGATCGAAGTCAAGATAGCTCAAGTGGTTAGAGCAGCGGCGTATTGAGCCGAAGGTCGAGGGTTCGAATCCCACTCGTGACACTACCTTTTTCATTTCATCCAAAACCTTAAAGAAAACGATTAATTAACTTGAGCGAAGCCACGATAGATCAAGCGGTCAGATGACAAAAAGTGGCAAAAAGGAGGGAAAATTCGAAAGGTTGTAGGTTGAGATAGGGAGTTGGTGTCCGAGATCGAAGTCACGACAGCTCAAATGGTAGAGCAACAGGATATCAAATCGAATGATCGATGTATCGAACCGGGAAACAAAAAAGCCAAAGCGTGACAAGTTTAGAGGAAAATTTTGGGAGGTAACAGATCAAGATTTGGGGATCAGAGGTAACAGATCAAGGTTTATATAATCCTGAAATATCTTCCTATTAATTAAGGCCAAACTAAGACATATTCACCTGGTTCCAGGCGGGGGGGAGAATTCCCCTTTTAAACCCCCTCATTGGATCCGACAATGCGGGATTCGAACCCACGACCTTCAGCTCAATACGCCGCTGCTCTAACCATATGAGCTATCGTGACTTCGATCCGCTCGGACACCATTCATTTCAAGACCTTACATATAAAGAATAATTAATTGAAAGAAATAATTCGGTCAATAAGACCACTAAAAATAATGGATTGTTATTTGCGTTAACTTGGGTTAAAACATTACACGTTATTTTTTATCCAGCGAAATTGAAATTTCCATCCTTACTCGGATAAAATTCCTCGGAAAAAACCAAGATGACTAATTTGTTTTTAAGGGGATATCAAATAGAATAGAAAATATACGAATCTGGTTCCATACGTAAAATCCTTAACTACCACTGCAGAAACGTTTTTATGTTCTAAATAATGAATATTTAAAATGGAAAGACCACATTATCAACAATCTATGATCTTTTTAACAAATTAACAGCGATACAATTCTCCTGAAGCAGTAATACTAGGTTGTGTCTTTTAAATAAAACAATAAAAGCAATCTGGGAAGTAGCAGGCAAAAATGTTTTGAGCCAAACCAAGAAAATTAACAGTTAAAAAGTTTTGACCGGACTTTGAAATATAAAAGAACCAAAGATCTTAAGGAAAATATATCGAATGCTTAAAATCACGATTATTCTAAAATGCAATACTTGTTGTCGCTTTTAGATGGTCCGGCTGAATTTCTGTTGATAACGTTATAAAAAAGAAAATTAAAAAAAATTACCAACTGTTTTAAAACATTTTTTACACTGAAGAAAAAAAAATGGCGCAATCAGATTTTAAATTGGTCCTAGAATAACAGTTACAGCACATGTGAAAAGAAATATGTTAAAATCGTTTATGTTATTGAGTATTTTTATTTTCTATTCCAGTCCGTTTTATGAATTTCTTGGAAAGAACACGTTTTTAGTTAATTAAAAAGTACTCTACATGTTTCGAACTTATAGAAATACGACAGATTTTCGAAACATGTAGATTAACGTTTTTTTAATGTAACAGTTTATTAACTAAAAAAGGGGTGCTAGCAGACCCATTGACCCATCCTAAGAATTTCCTAAGTAATTTCCGTAATTTGGTCCTTAATTTTATTCTCAGGATTGTCAATTATTGTTTTGATATTGTTTACGGGATTTAGACAACATGAAAAAACATGTTCTTCAAAATCCACACTTCTCCCTTTGAATTTTTTTTTTATGTAACAGTTTATTAACTAAAAAGTGGGTGCTAGCAGACCCATCAACCATCCTAAGAACTTCATAATTATTTTCCGTAATTTGGTTCTTAATTTGTTTCTCAGCATTGTCAATTATTGTTTCGATATGTTTTACTGGATTTAGACAACATAAAAAAGCATGTTCTCGAAAGTCCACTCTTCTCCCTTTGAATTTTTTTTAAATGAAACAATTTATTAACTAAAAAAGTGGGTGCTAGCAGACCCATCAACCATCCTAAGAACTCCATAATTATTTTCCTTAATTTGGTTCTTAATTTTATTCTCAGCATTGTCAATTATTGTTTCGATATTTTTTACTGGATTTAGACAACATGAAAAAGCATTTTCTTGAAAATCCACACTTCTCCCTTTGAACGTACGGGTTTTAGGTTTTTCAAAGAACAAGATTAGAGATGTCCTCGGAACATAATTTTAAACCTTTTTTTAAATATAGCTCTCATCTTGTCCTGGAACACTGATTTTGATAATTAATCTTATTTTCAGAGATTTGGGACGCAGAAGAAAATTTTCTCCCATATTATTAAACTGCTTCAAAATTCTTGGAATTCAAATATTGTTCTTTAAGAAAATTAATTATCTTTTAAATGTTTCGCAATTACTGGTAATTTTACAAATAAAATACGGTTTATTTTCTCAAATAGATGAGAATTCGTAAGGATGGAAACGCTCTCGATGGAAATTTCACACAAAATAAAATTTTATGATTACCACACCAAGGGCGTCATTCAGATTGAGCTAATTTAATTTTACCGTCAATTTCTTTAGAAATCATACAAAGCGTCCATTCTGCAGTAAATTTGTCACTGGATACTTTCACGTTTAATAAAAAAAAAAAAAAAAAAAAAAAAAAAAAAAAAAAAAAAAAAAAAAAAAAAAAAAAAAAAAAAAAAAAAAAAAAAAAAAAACCACAATTTACATTTCATAGCCGTGGATAATAATAATCCACGAGTATTTTTCTTTTAATTCAAATAAATTTGGTTTTAAAAGAAAAACACCGTTTATTCCTGCTACGGGCCGTTTCGGATCTCGAGCAGAATTGAAATTGGCCATGAATACGTAAGAAGTTAAAAAATGAAAAATTCATAGCGTACCTTCGATCTTACCTGACGTGTATCCCTGTGGAAAATAATTATCGACACGAGGTGCACCACATTCGATTTCACGGCGGTCTATTTCGCCTCCTATTCCTCTTCTCTTCTCCTTCAAAAGTCATTTTTTTTAATTAAAAAAAAAAGGAAACTTTTGGCTTCACTGCATGGGCTTTGCGTAATTTGCTAGTTGTTTGAAGAAGGAATAAAAAAAAACAGACAACCCAGAGACGATATCACCGACGGCACACGGTTTTTCAAATAAATTAATCGACACTTTTCTTGTAAAAAAATTCTCAGAGGTTTTTCACTGATTGCTCGCTCGACCCTAAAAATATATACAAGATTTTTTTATTAGTGAATGTACCATAGCTTCTAAACTGACTTGAGGAATGTGATTTGTTTGAAAAAAACCCTCATTTAGCATTTTCTTTATTTTTAACTCTTAGATTATTTCGAATTTAACTAACCTAAGCCACAATATTCACCGCTAGATTTTTTCTTAAAATTAAAATAGCTTTATAAAAAAAACATGTATATAATATAGACGCAAGAATATTAATTAATAATATAGTAGTTTATAGCTTTTTATCACCCTTGTAGAATTTTTTTTATTAATTAACAAAATTGATTTTTTTAAGACATCCCAGAGACACAATTTTCACCCAAAAACGTGCTTAAAAATCAACATTTCAAAACTTTAAACAAACCTCTGATTAAGCATAAAGTTTTCAGGACGAGAAAACGTGACAACTGGTGGACAGGCATGAGGTTGCTTATTTGAAGGAATGTCCTTTGCGATTTTTTAAATATTTCTATAATTATTAGTTTAAAATTTGCTTATGTTTTGTTTAAACAAAATCACGGAAATAATAACGCTTTTAATGTTTCGATTTTGTGCTATTTTAACATTTCTCTTCATAGCGTTGCATGCAAAAATGAAAAGGCAGTCGTCTCGGCCAACGGTGGCATGGTGGTGTTGGAAAACAAGTAAGTGAATTGAAAAACACAACACAAAAACTACCTATTCAAAACCTATAGAATCAAATTTTGTTAAAAAATTTTATGCGTTGAAAAAGGTAAGGCGCACATTTTTTTTTTTTCGCCTATTCCCTTCTGACACTTTTTTTCTTACACCTCCAGATTTTTGTTTTCTTTCTCTTTCTCTCACTTTTTTCGTTTGTAACAACCCTTTTAAATGGACCGTATTTTTGTAGATGAATATGGACCCGGAAGTAGCCCCGTGAAGAAAATGTCACGTGACTCGAACGGTAAGCGTCAGTAGAATGCATCTATTTTTGTAGAGAGCGATCGATTTTTTGTTTTTGTTATTTTGCTGTCACTTTTTAAAATAAACAGCGAATAAAAAACTTTAAAACTATTTCCAGCATTTTTAAATAATCCAAGTGAGCATCAATATCTTCCAGGTTATTTCAACATAATTTGTGATGATTATTTGGGTATCGTCAGATGCTGTCTGGTGTGACGTTGGTTGTAGAAAAACGTTTTATCGTGCCAACGTTTCGATCTTTATTGAGATCATCATCAGGGCCTGGGATTTATAAACATTGTTTAAATTTTACAATACATGTAGGATGTCACAAAAAATGTATACAATGCTAGAAAATTTTAGATTAAAAAAAATGAATTTATACAATGCTAGAAAATTTTAGATAAAAAAATGAATTTATACAATGCTAGAAAATTTTAGATAAAAAAATGAATTTATACAATGCTAGAAAATTTTAGATTAAAAAAAATGAATTTATACAATGCTAGAAAATGTTAGATAAAAAAATGAATGTATACAATGCTAGAAAATTTTAGGTTTAAAAAATGAATTTATACAATGCTCGAAAATGTTAGATAAAAAAATGGATTTATACAATGCTAAAAAAGATTTCACATCCTACATGTATTTGAAAAATTTAAACAATGTTTATAAATCCCAGGCCCCAGATGATGATCTCAGTAAAGATCGAAACGTCGGTACGATAAAGAAAATGTTTTTCTAAAACCTACGTCACACCAGACCGCATCTCACGATCTCCGAATAATCATTAACTAAGGGTCAAAAAACACCACACATAATTTGTGATATTAATAATTCATTACTGTAGACTTAGCTGGATATGATTTTAAGGTTTTTGACTGCACGTTAAATGGAGGTAAGTGGAAAAGTGACAGCAATGTTTTGTTTGACCAGTAACTGCTGCAAATAGTCGAAAGAGACAAGACTTGTCTATAATTTTAAGTAAAAGCATTGTTTATGCATGGTTGTTACTGAATGGACATGATAATAATATACAAGAAAGCAGCATTTTTTAAAAACTCTGAGAATTTTGTAGGCAGTACGCTTTTGTACGTTCTGTCTCGCATCGCGGCCTACGCAGATTTAAAAAAAAAATGTAATTTGTCTTTTTTCCCCCTTTCCGATTCTCTAGCAAGCGACGATACGAGAGTGACGACCCCGACTGCCCTGGAGACGATGCTCCCGTGGAAACGCGATGACGACGTCGAGACGAACGGAGGACCGTTGAAACAGAGCGAGTTTCCGGCGTGGTGTTCCAACAAAGAATATCTGGCCTACAACTCCCCATCCGCTACGTTTTTAGGTACTGTACATTTATTTTTCCGCTTGAAAATCACTTTAGAAGAATACAGTAAAAGATGGAATAAAACAAACCAAGCTCTCTCTCGACAATTCTGATCGCACAGTCACATTTGTAAGACCGGGAAAAAAGTAATAAAATATTATAAAAATCGAATCCTGATTACACATTTGAAAATGGCCAAAAGAGGGAAAATTTCGAAATTGTAGGCTGAGATGAGAAGTTGGTGTCCGTGGGGTGAAAGTCACGATATCTCAAGTGGTTAAAGCAGCTGCGTATTGAACCGAAGGTCGTGGGTTCGAATCCCGCTCGTGACACTGACTTTTTTATCTCAACCAAAACCTTACATAAACAGATTATGAAAAATTAATTTAAAAAAATAAATATAATATATTACATAATAATAGTAAACAATTTAGGTAATAATTAGGTTTGTGTTTGTATTTATCACGATCAATTAACTCAGTCTGTAGTTTAATTTTTTATAACGGAGTAGGCATTTGACATTAATACGTTGATCACAGTTGGCTGTTTTGTATTTTATTAAGAGTTAATATTTTGCGTTTTGTAGTAAGTTGGTAAAATATTCTCCAACATTACTACAAAATGGATTTGACTTGTTGGATACTCACTTAAAATATTATTCTAGTAGTGTTTTTGTCATTTCTTCCGTTAAATAATGTTTACCTGTGGTATGTTCAAGGTCACTAATTTTCATGTTAGGTGCAGCGGATGAAGCCAATCTTAAAAATTTGTTATGAATTATTTGTAATTGATTTACGTTACTACAGGGAATAATTCCGGATAGGACGGTATAATAAGCAAAAGATTAACCGCTGTTCAGTAAATGAAGATNAAAAAATTAATTAAATTAAATATTAATTGAAAGAAGTAACTTGGTCAATTAGACCTCTAAAAACATAAATGGATTAATAATTAAAAAAACGCTTCATTTATTCTTCTTGGAGACCACAATAATAACTTTTCCCTATATTAATCGAAATAAAGTTGGATCGAACATCCTAGATTCTAGACAAGATTGCTTTATCTATTGAATTGTTTTTATTTATTGAATATCGGAATTAAGAGACGAGCTTTGGTAGATTTTATTTTGGATTTTAATTAATAACATATATAATTTCTAATGAAAAAGATCTCATCATAAATATCCATTTATATGTATATACGAACGATCAACATCATTTCTGTTTATTTGATTTATTAAAAATTAGTTCTTTTCTTTTTGTTTATTTGCACTGAGATTTTGATTTAAGGCTTTTTATTTTTTTATATATTGTATATATTTTTTTAAATTTTTCGTTTCGTTAGATTCATTTTGTTTCATTAGATTTATTATCGATTTTATACTGGCTTTTTTTTTTAATTGACATTTTGTTTAATAAGCTTGAATTAACTAACCAGACGTTTATCTTAAGCTTTGACTGGAAAATGCCGCTGCTTTCAACGATAACCGGTAAAGTTTCGTATTAACAATGGCGGAGTTTCCAAACCCGAGTTGTGCTCTCGAACTGTGGTTGTTTGAATTGTACTGCAGTGGCATTAAATTGAGACTAAATCCCTGGTGGCGGGACTTTTTTCCCTTGTAAGACATTGACACGGTTTCGCTTTCGACAATTTAAATCTAAACTCACTGACGAAGCCCCTTCGAGTTTCTTCCAGGGTTGCCATCTTCACGGGAAACTTACAAATGATATTTTTGCAATGGGGCTATCGTTAAGTTAAAGATTAAAAAACTGAATTTGAACAAACTTTCACGGCGCGCTGGGTTTATTTTTTTCCTTCTCGCATGCCACTCCTGTTTGGCTGAACTGTATAACCAAAGCGCCGTAATTTTTCCGATTTATATATACTCGACTACTCGAGTTACAAACTTTACCAGTAGATTCTACACCCAAAATGGAACCGAAAATTCCTAATTAACTATGATCCGAATCTCAACTGTTTCGTTGTTATTTTACTTTATCTGATTTTTTAAGATTTCACGACCTTGCTTCAAATAAACAATGATAACTCCAATACTAAAAGGTTTTGGTCAAATCCGTTGATACCATTGAAAACTACGTTAAATTTTCAATAAGATGTGATCAATACTAAACTCGTAAACGTTGGTAAAATAAGCGTTTTAGAAGCCAGAAGTTCGAAAAATAATTTTTTTTAAAGTTGGAGAACTTACCATGGTGATTCTAAACTACTATTTCCAAACATAGAGACCAGCAAATTTCAGAAAACGTACTGCATTTACTATCCTTTTTAGTGGTGCAATTAATTTTTTAATTAACTTTTTTCAAAGATGAAGAAAGTGATGAAGGAAAAGAAAAAACCGTGGTCGAAGGATTGATAAGGTGGAAAGATTAACAGCTGGACGATCACCTTTACATCATTGATCACAGGGATTTTCGGCTCTTTATCCGTGGAAAGACATCATCTTGCACCAGAAGTCTTCAATATTATTGTGAGAAGTTGTCATCGATATCACCGACAAGTGGATATCGCAGAGGCAGTTGGCGTTTCTCAGAGTGGTCTACCAGGGTTTAGCCCGATTCCGAAACCAAAAAGTCCTAATTAACTGTGGTCCGAATCTCAGCAATTTCGGAGTTATTCAACTTTTTCTGATTTTTTAAGATTTCACGACCTTATTTAAAAAAAAAATTATAACTCCAAAACTAAAAGTTTTTGGACAAATCCGTTGAGACCATTGAAAACCACGTTAAATTTCTAATAAGATGTCGATTCTAAACTACTATTTTCAAACCTAGAGACCAGCAAATTTCAGAAAACGTACTAAATTTCCTTTTTAGTGGTGCAATTGCTTTTTTAATTACTTTTTTCAAAGATAAAGAAATTGATGGTGGAAAGGAAAAACCGTGGCTGACGGATTGGTAAGGTGGAAAATTAAAAAAAAAAAAAAGAATGAATTTATTAAATTTTTTTTTAAATTGGTTTTTACATATTTACCAACACGACTGCAACTTTGATGAAAGGATTATTGTGTTATTATTCTCCGGAATAAAAGAGTTTTAAGATTCCAAACTTTAATAAATTCATTCAAAATTTCCTTGTTCCATCCAAAATTGTTTATTTTTTAATCTTTCCACCTTGCCAATCCTTCCATCAGGTTTTTCATTTCCTTCATCTTTAGAAAAAGTATTAAAAAAAAAAAAAAAAAAAAAAACAATTGCACCACTAAAAAGTATACAGATGGAGAACATTTTCTGAAATTTGCTGGTCTCTAGGTTTGAAAATAGGAATTTAGAATCACCATGTTAAGTTCTCCAACTTTCAAAAAAAAGTGTGTGTGGTGATTAGTGACCGTTAATCGATATTTATTTAGAAATCGTCAGATGCGGTCTGGTGTGATGTAGGTTTCAGAAAAACATTTTCTTTATCGTGCCAACGTTTCGATCTTTATTGAGATCATCTTCAGAGAGAGATCATCATCATCTTCAAGAGATCATCTTCTACTCATCATGAGTGAGTAGAAATACTTTGATTGAATATATAAAAATATATATATATTTTGCATTGTATAAATTCACTTTTCCACATCCAAAATGTAATTGTTATATGTAAACAATGTTTGTAAATCCCAGGCTCTGAAGATGATCTCAATAAAGATCGAAACGTTGGCACAATAAAGGAAAAATTTTTCTGAAACCTACATCACACCAGACCGCATCTCACGATTTCTAAATAAATAAAAAAAAAATATTTTTCGAACTTCTGGCTTCTAAAACGCTTATTTTACCAACGTTTACAAGTTTAGTATTGATCACATCTTATTGAAAATTTAACGTAGTTTTCAATGGTATCGACGGATTTGACCAAAACCTTTTAGTTTTGGAATTATCATGGTTTATTTGAAGCAGGGTCGTGAAATCTTAAAAAATCAGAAAAAGTGAAATAACTCCGAAACTATTGAGATTCCGACCATAGCTAATTAGGACTTTTTGGTTCGTCTTTGAAAGTACAATGTGCTGGCAAAGTTTGTAACACAAGTAGCCGGACATCCTGTATGTAATAATATATATAATATACATTATATTTGTTTTTCTGATGCGTATTATTTAAATTTTCATTACTTACACATTACATAGTATAATTCCTTTGGCTTTTGCACAAAATTATCATTTTATATGTAATATACCGCAAGTCGTGATGTTTGATTTGTGGGGGGCCTTAACATGGATCCCGATTACATAAATATGGTTCGCTTTTGAAATGAAGGCTTCATGCGCTTAACTAGTTTTTTATGTTTTTTTCTTTATTTTTTAATTTTTTTTTTAAGTTTCATTTTGTTGGTCGCTCGTTTTTAAGGCGGGGTTGAGCCATCAAGGCGGTCTGTGATAGGTTTGTTCAGGCGAGAAAGCGATGCGATGCAGGCCGAATCGCCTTCGCCGCAGGACGAAAGCACCTCAGTCCTTCTGGTCGAAGAAGGGACTTCGCTACTACACAGACACGACCCGAGAAGAGGCTCGGTCCCAACTCCAAGTCATCACAAGGACGAATACATCGTCGGTAAGCGACTGACAATACAAAATTGTAAAAAAGTTTTTATTCGTTTACGCATTTAAATTTCAGTCGGAGCATCAGGTTCGACCCCGTCGCTCGGTGATAGATGGTCGCCCCATTGCCTGTCCGGAAGGAGGCAGAGTTCTCTTCCTGTCAACAGCTCGCAGGAATCTTTCACAAGCTCAATATCAGAAGGAAGCCCAGCCCACAGGCCATAGCATAAAGAGCCTCGGTGCACAGTCACCAACCTTTAACATTCCATTAGAGCTGTAAGTTTTCAAATTTTTATTCTCTTTTAAATAAATTATATCAAACTTTTTAAAAAGATTGAATAACACACTCACTCCACTATTTATCATTTCTATAAATTATATCAGTTTGGTTTTAAAAAACTGTGCATGTCCCTGGGCCCGAGAGGGCAGACCTGTCTTAACTTGTCAAGTCCGACTTTTATTTCCATTGATCATTTAATATTAAGCCAGGACACAAAAAACCATTCGTTTGAGTCAAACAAGTCTGGCAGGGTCATTTTCATTTTGTCACACTTACCATTTCATTCTAATGAAATTAATGAAAATTTCTTCTCTTCATTTCAGGCAAGGAGAATTAGCGATGGCACTGTGTGTTTATTATGATAAAATTAACGCTTTACAATTTTTTTTTCCATTGGCCCTCCCATTTTTTAACAATTGATATCTATATATAACAGTAGACAATAAAAAACAATAGTTTTTTTTTAATAGAACAATAATTGAAGAAGAGGGAGTTAATTTTTTATTTACCGAACTGACTAGCACGACAACAAAGTTTTTTGGCAATAAATAAAATGAGAAAAAAAATATTAAAAAATTTCCTTCCTTTAAGGCCTTATTAAAGAGAAATATGTACATATTGTTGTATATAAAGTTATCATGAATACAATAGTGTACACACACACAAAAAAAATAATAAGAAAACAGTGATCTGGATTTTTGTCAATTTAGTGTATTAGGGTTTTTTTTTAGACTTGATAGAATTTCAATGTATTGAAGGGGGAGATTGCGCAGATTAGGCATGTCAGAAAATGGGAGAAATACAAATTTATAACTTTTAACTTGTAACTTTTTGAAATTTCGTTGCCAACATTTCTGACCGAAACGATAAGAAGTGTAGTTTTCTCCTTGAAAGTCTCAACTTTCTCTTTCTTGTTTCATTTCTTTTCTAAATATTCATATGGTCTTATCATTAGTCTTCTTTACTATTAACCTTGGTGCACCATTTAGTTTTTTTATTTATTATCTTGACTGATATAATCCTTAATATTCTTATTGTATATAAAAGATCAGGATTAATGCAAATTAAAAAAAAAAGGCGCTAGTCAACATTTTATGGAATATATCCGCTTTCTCAGGATTTGAAACTATTTCTACTGATTTACAGGTTAAAAAATATATAAAACTATTTACAAAAAATTCAACCATAATAAATTTATGAGTTTAGTTTAGGAGAGTGCGAGATCTGCCACATGTCCATTGTACATTACAAGTTGCTAGCTATCAGCTTTATTTATTATTTAAATATTTGTTTCTTTGCATGATTATTTTTCTCTATATAACTTACCTCAGTTACTGCTAAAAAAATATCAATTCTTAAAGTGTATTAGTTTTTAACATTTCATTTTCATGCTTTCAAATAAGCTTGTTTCTTCCCCACTCGATTCCTATTGGTCCATCTGATGGACTTCTGAGATTTGAATTTTACTCGTAATGAAAGGATCTACAACTGATCCATACCCAAGCATTCAAACCCTAACTTTAGTTTGGTGGGTTTCAGGATACTCGATATTCCACTGAAGGCCTACCCTCATTCCCGCTAATAAATACAGTCGCACTAATCACCATGCAAAAAGTACACATAAAATTTGGGGAGCCACTTGGGTATTGATTTTACACCATTTTCCCTCTAAAACGCCCTAAAGCTAACCTAGATTAGTGGGTCTGTGGGGCACCCATGACCCACCCACACATATTCAACATTCACGCTAATAAATACATTATTTATATTTTTTTTATTCTTGCACATTTAAAATATATCAATGCATCTGATAATACAGACTGGCCATGTTAAAAATTAAATAATTATTGCTTATTTCAACTTTATACATTTCTTCATTAAATATAATATTGTGACACTTTCTAAATATGATATGCTAAATATAGCATATACATATTAGCAAAAGGCATTCAGCTTCTTTTTTCCATTATTCTTAACCATTCAGTTTTTGACCGTTCCTGTTTAAATACTCATAGAACTTCATTCTTTTTTTAATCTAAACTATTTCACTCAAAAATTTTCTTAATATTAAAATATATTTCTTATTTTGTCTTTTGATTATTCCTGTTGATGGAATTAGAGTATTTTTTATATAATTTATTTTGTTTTTGTGTTTTTCAGCCTGCCCATCTTCCATTTTTATGATAATCTATGTAATTTGATTACGGTTTTTCAGTATTTTCATCATGTTGTTTTGTTCCCTCGAGTTTTTTCCTTTTCAGTTGTGTACTGTTTAGGATATTTATTTATTTTTTTAGTTAAAAATTGTTCCTAATAATACAAAATTTAATTAAGATTCACATTTAAACATAAACAGAACACAATAATTATAAAAAATGATTTTTTTTCTCTTCAGCTTTAAAAATAATTGCAAATGAACTCTTTTGTTCTTGAATTAGATTGTTTTTTATTTTGGTAAAACGGTTTAGAAACGAGAAAACGGACAAAACAACTCGTGAGAAAATGTTGGCGCAAAATTTCAATATTTCGTTCGTCCACCCCTTCCACTTTTTTTCTTTCGATAATAAACTTTTCAAATGCGCGGAACTGAAGGCTGTGAATTTATTCGCAAGACGCAGTAAGATCGGCCGGTCCTGCACGATTTCCCTCGGACTTGTACGCACTAAGGGGCGGTCAGTCGTCGGCGAAAAGGGACAAAAATCTCTGAGAGGCCTATTGTAAAATTTAAATGTAAACAAAATATCCTACGGATACATTTAGAATGGAACTTGATAAGACTGCTGTTAAATGATGTCATTTGCTTTCTTTATTAAATCTATCATAGTAAATCGCTGGGGGTAGGGGGTGTAAACTGTACAAATATAATAGCGAAAGACAACCACAGACATTCTAATCACTCCATTGGCCGTATTTATAAAAATAAATTTTAAAAATCTAGTTGCAAATAGACTGTCTAGTTTAGTAAAATTCACAGCTTTAATAATAATAAAGAATAAAAACACAAATTTAAATAAATGGTGTATATTTACACAAGGAGAAATAGAAATTAATATATAAATTCATAGGTATTAGACTTAAGTGCTTTTAATCCTTGTTGAATAAAAACGATTTAAAAAAATTAAAGTTTGAAGGATTCATCTGTTATATTTTTGAATAAATGTTAAAGTTAATAACACATCTGAAGTTAAAAAAAGTTTACTTTTATGGTTAAGGCCTTATCTAGAAAAGTCTAATGTCACAGGTTGGAATCTTTTCGGGGGGTGGAATGCAAGCTACTGTTTTCCCAGTTGAACACGGTGCTGTTTTGTAAATTCTACGGTGGCGAATGTGCAGGGTGCAAGGTTCAATAAGAGTATTTTTGTAAAATTATTCTGTAGTTCAGTTGAAACGCTTTGTTTCGACTTCCTTCAAATTTGCCTAAAAAAAATTGTTGTTGGTAAATAAATTAGAATTCTAAAAAATGTTTTAAAAAAAACCCAAAAAAAGTAAGGGAAAGGAGTAGTTAATAATAAATGAATGAAAAATGTACAAAAAAGTTCAATAATCAGATATATTTGCAATGTTGATTCATATTATAATGTTATAATAGGGATTTTTTCTATAAATTGATTTTTTTAAATAAATTAACTTATTATTGAGAATAATATAATTTTGAACCTTGTTGTGATAGATAAATATTTTTGTATTATGGTTCTGTACTTAACGATGTAAAGTGAGATGATGTTTGTTATAAGCCCAATAATTTTACTAGTGTATGTAAAAAAAAAATGCTATAGGCATTTAATTGCCAATAAGTAATTGAAGTGTCTTATTTCTGATGATTAAACTTGAAACGTCGCACTTTTTGCCTGTAACGCTTGTTAAAAAAAGAAAAAAAGCAGATGCACTAAGAAAAATCACTGTATCATTTGTAATGTAATGATTATGAACAAAAAATATACTGTTATTGGGCGTTTATCATTTCAGATTGTTTTATTTTTCCCCTAACCTCACTGAATATGAATAAACATGAATGACTAACCATCACTTCCTGAAAAAAAACAAAAAAAAACAGGTAAGTATATGTGTATTTATGGATCGACAACTGGCCATGCGGATTTTTTTTCCAAATCTTTATACAACTATTTTTCCATCCAGTATCATGGTACTGGATATTATGACGACCTACTTTCACTTCCCATAACAAGACAGTCTGATCATGTTCTCTCCTCCGAGTACTTGACGTTCGTATTGACTGGAAAATGCCGCTGCTTTCAATGATATCGTGTAAAGTTCTGTATTAACCATGGTGGCGTTTCCAAACCCGAGTTGTGCTCTCGAACTGTGGTCGTTTGAATTGTACCGCAGTGGCATTAAATTGAAACAAATTCCTGGTGGTGGGACTTTTTTCCTTGTAAGATTGACACAGTTTCCCTTTTGAAAATTTAAATCTAAACTCACTGCACTTTAAGACTGATGAAGCGCCTTCGAGTTTCTTCCAGGGTTGTTATCTTCACGGGAAACTTACACAATCTGGTTATCATTACATTAAATATTAAAAAACTGATTTTGAAGAAACTTTCATGGCACAGCAGGTTTATTTTTTTTCTTCCCGCATGTCACTCCTGTTTGGCTGAACTGTATAACCAAAGCGCCGTTATTTCTTTCACTAATATTTTTTAAACTTACATTTCTTATACAGTCAGCCCTCCTATAACATAGTGAGTGCGTACCGCGTTATATGGAAACCGCGCTATAAGAAACTCGATTTTAATCGTACAAACCAGGCTAATTCGTAGCGTGTTCTATGGAAACCGTCTACCGCGTTGTATGGAAACTGCGCTTTAAGAAACTCGGAATTAGTACAAATCACATCATTCGTACCGCGTTATATGGAGACCAATAAATACAAAAGACAAGATAAATTATGAATTATTTTTATTGAATTGAAGAGTTCATATAAGGATTGATAAAAAAAAAAAAAAAAANTTTCCAACAAAAACAAGAAAGACTTTTGTAAAATTATTTATTTTTCAACACTCATCCTCGCTGTCAGATATGAGTCACCTAACTCGTCTTCTTTTAATGGGCAAAATGTCTTCCTCACTTGGTTCTTCTTCACATTGGTTTTTGATCGTAGCTTTTTTTTCTAACTCCACTAAAACCTCTCTATAGGGAGCTAAGCAATTTCTTAACTCTCTTTTAAACTTTGCGCTGCGCATAGTTGAACGATCAGTTTGAATGAAATGAAGTTCTAATTCTTTAGCCAAATCTAGGGTAATTAATTATTTTAATAAATTACTTTATTATTATTATATTAGTACAACTTAAGAATATTACTTATCGTATTGTGTAATGTTGTCCAATTATAAATCACAAATTAAGCAGCTAAAAGCTGAACGAACGGAGGGTGTAGAAAATTTTTTATAAAGAATTGGTCACCAACAAAACGTATGTACTGTGAAAGATCTCTGAGATGATTGAAACCGATGTCGTAAACGGCTATGAGATAAGCTGGCATGTTTATATAAACATATTGTTTATGTATCTCGGCTGTGCTTTTGCGTGGAAAATAAAACTTACATTAAAACCTCTTACAATATCTAGTTACTAGAGTCATTCATAGGCTGTGTGGAAGGGACTTATGGGATTCTGTTAAACGGAAACCGCGCTGTAAGAGTACTGTGTTATGGGAGGGCTGTCGCAATTTCAGCTCCGCGTTATATAGAAACCGCGTTCTGAGAGTACCGCGTTATAGGAGAGTTGGCTGTATATTACATAGTATAATTCATTCGGAATTTATACAAATTTATCGTTTTACATGAAATATACTGTCAGAACATTTGATATGTGCACTAAAAAAATCACTGTATCATTTGTAATGTAATGACTATTAACAAAAAATATACTGTTATTCGACATTGTTCATTTTTTCCCCTAGACCACTATTTATGACTAAATATGAACAACTAACCATCACTTACTGAAAAAAAAGTATAATAATAATAATAATAGTTTATTAAAGGAGATCACCTTACTATAAAACGTGTAACAAACAAGAATTTCCGCTCCGGGAAAAAACCGAAGTTTTGAGATATATTGGCTTAATAAGTGTATGACAGTGGTGTGTTGTGGAAGCTAGGACGTCCCTTTGTCAGCCCAGTGTTTTTTGGTGAGTTGAGTTCAATTGGATAAGTTTTTTGACGATTAGACAAGTCTGCTGGGTGCTAGTTTGTAGCTCGGAAGTGTTGGGAAGTGTGGGGCCTGAATCTCTCTAAAAACCTGGTTTCAGGGTTGGGCAAGATTTATTTAGTTTTTCTCTTTTTATTTAAACGCCATATATTTTTCTATTTTTCAAAATTTCCCAAAATCATTTCAAAGGCCCTTTCGAGTGGGCCGAGAAGGTTTTCGAAATCGATTACCTCCTCTAAATAGGACTCCCTCTCCTGTTGTTTGTACGTCTGGGGCAAGACATTTTATCATTTGTCGATTGGATAGGAAAGATAATGGCGGCCTTCACTCACTATCGCCAATTAAGATATGTAGAGTAATAAATAGAGAAGTAGGGAAAGTAGTAAACGTCAAAAAAGGCCGTGACGGTTTAATTTATATTGAAGCGTTCAATGAGGAACAAGGGGATAAAATATTGAAAATTAAAAGTATAGAAAATATACCGGTAAAGGTCGAAAGAAATGTTAAATTGAACACCTCAAAAGGTGTAATTTCTTGCTGGGACTTGAAAGAGTGTCCCGATGAAGAACTTCTTGAAGAATTAAAAGGTTCTAATGTTACAAACCTTCATCGATTAAAAAGAAAAGATGGTAGGATATCTTTTTCATGGGTTGTAACTTTCAATACCCCGTGTCCTCCAAAAGAATTGCATGTTGCCTATAAGAAGATAGCCCCTAAGGCCATTTATTCCTGCTCCCCTTTGATGCTTTAAATGTCTAAATTTCGGACATACAATTTCTTCGTGTACGAAGAAGGTCTTTATGTGTGGATGTGGGCTGGAAAGGTATGAAAAGGCTGTTCCTTGTCAGTCTCCAGTGTGCATGAATTGTCAAGGCCCACATAACACTTTGGCGCGTCATTGCCCAAAATATAAACACGAAACTGAAATTTTGGAGCTGAAAGTGAAAAATAAAATAACGTTCAATCAAGCAAAGTCCCTAATAGGCTCTGGCCTTATTAAAAAAGGGATTACCTTTGCCGAAAAAGTAAAAATGGGCACGAAAGAAATAGGTTGTCAGATGGAGTCAGGGAACAACTCACTGAACGTAATCAAAAATATGTCATCTTGTTGTAAGCAATATTATATTAAAGTGAACATAAATGTACCCAATAAAAAATAAACAATACGGCATGGATTCTCCGTCTGCCGGTAGGTGGTGAGAACATAATAATAATAGTAATAATGATAATCACAATCATGTCGGTATTTCTGGAAATGAAAAAGCTGATCAACAGGCAAGGAACGCTGCAAACCATCCACAAAGAACAGATCAATTTTCTCTCCGTCCAGATGATAGTCGTTTATGCTAAAAACATTATCAAACGAAAGTGGGCGGCAAGATGGAATGTCTGTAGAGATAGTATGAAAGAAATTAAGTCAGTTGTACATAAATGGCCAACTGAGGAAGTTGAGAGAAAAGAACTTGTGATTCTCTCTAGATTGCGAATAGGTCACATCAGGCTAATCCATAATAGGCTTTTAATAGGCAACAACCTTCCAACTTGTCCTCGATGTATACGAAGAGGAGTACGTATCATTCTGACAGTAAAACATATTTTGATCGACTGTCCCATTTTACAACCCTTTAGGCAAAGGCTCAACCTTTCGAGTGATTTACAGGAGTTACTGGGTCCCCAGTGTTTCTTTCAAAGAGCACTTTTCAGCTTTCTCAAACTTATTGGAATTTATAATGAGATAAGGCCTTTTCCCAAATTGTTATACCATTGAATGTTTGCCTGCTGATGTCTGAATGGGAGTTGAGCGTGCAAGATTTTTTTTCCAGAAGTTTTTGAGGCTGCTGGAGCGGAAAAATGAAATGGAAGAAAATACAAATTGTGGGGTAATAAATGCCCAAAAAAAAAAAAAAAAAGTTTCCGGCATGGTGTTCCAATACCCTTTCACCTCCTACAAGACAAGTCTGGTCACATTCACTCCACTGAGTACTCAATATTCTTCAAGGCGAGCAATAATCCCAGCATTCACGCTAATAATTTACATTCACACCAACTCATAAACACGTACTACTTTTAAAAATTCTTATAGCCCTGAGGTATTGCGATTTGCGCCCGCTACCATGCTGCAAGGCCACATAAAGGTCAGCAGGGAGTCTAGAGGCTTTTGTGAAATATGCTTAATGCTTAATCTTACAATAATAGGCACCAGTCTCTCAACTGCCAGCAAGTGCCCATTATGACCTATGCGTAACCTGGTAAGTATTTCTCATCCTCCGTAGACCAATGAGTAATCTAATTAAAATGTATAAACTTGAGTTTTTATCATTTTGTTTATGGTAAATTTAATAAGTGTGAAGATCCCAAATCTTAAACAGGGTTTTGTAGAAATTAAGTGTATTGTAAATGTTATGATTAGACGTAAGAATATTTTGGCTAATTGCTGGGAAAGCATATTGTACAAGATTGGGAAATCGGACATGGCCTGGAATCTTGGGAGCCGACCCCGTCTTTCTCGAAAACTCCAAATGCAGCTAAACAAAACTAGCAAAATGGTAACAACTGGATGTTTTCGATTAAGAAATGTGTGTCGGTCCTGTGCAATCGCCCTAGAAAAATTAACCGTTGTGCTGACAGGTGGCCTTATTGCTCAACCCCCAGGATTAGCTAATGCCCGGACTCATCTAGAATAGCTCGATGACCTGGGGAGGACAAGGGTAGTCGGGTCACCAGGAAGCATAACAGTATTTCCTAAGCTTGACAGGGGACCTCCTCCCTGACTAATTGAAAAAAAGGACGA